ATGGCGGGACTGAGCGGAGCAGAGCTAACGGAGTTAAACGTTAGCCGACTGAATATTACTGATGAGTTGGGTTACGGGGTTAGCGGAATGGCGGGCTATAACCCAGAAATGGAAAGGAGGGATAGGCCTGAAGGTAGACCTGCAGGGCAAGCAAGTGAATTGCCCAGCAGGGGCAGGAGTGCGCTAGCAGATGTCGGAGCTGTCCGGAGGCCTTTGGGGTTCCATACTTAGGGAGGCATAGGTAATATATTGAATTGAGGGGGTGGTGACCATCGAGGGAGTCAGAGGTGATTGCGGAATATAGGGGCTCCGAGGTTAGTGACGAAGGAGTGGAGGTAGTCCAGAAGGATCGAGCACGATGGCCATAGATGGATATGACACCTTGGTATAAAACCCAATGAATTGTGTGATGAATGATTGACCCTCGCTAATGCCTCCATCGTTAAGTAGTGAGGGGGGGCTTCTGGCCCCCTTCCACTGGCAGCTGCTGTTCCTCCATCGCCAGTCCCCCTGACAAATTGGGGACAACGAGGATGTAATGGGTGCAGTGCTCCATTCCGAGTCGCTGAAGCCGAGTCCCTTCAACACCCCATCACCCTCAGAGCTCCACCCCACCTCCGGTCTGTCTCTGACCCACTGTCAGATGACCCGGAACATCAAGCTCCATCAGACACACCCACCTGGGTAGTGTTTTGGATCTTCCCCAGGTGGGTTCATGACAAGGACCACAAATAGCTCATGCTAATCCCAAGAGCGTGAAAAGCATCAAAGAGCCAAACAGGGACACCATTTGCATGCATGTTCAGTGACAAAAGTTGCTGAAGTCGGCAATATTCATTTGAGGAACAGTATGCTGCAGCTGATACCATCATGAGGATGGTCTGGCATAGAGTGAGATTGTAAGTGGTTTGCAAGCATTTGTGGAACTGTTCTTGCTCACCATGTTGGGGACTTTATCCTATTTTCCAGCACTTGCCTTTTTAGCCATGTTATATTTTGCAAGATGCTCCAAACAGTACATGCTTTATCCTGAATGATCCTGATCATATCAATGGGGCTACACTTGATAATATGTGTTGGAATATCAACAATCGGTTCCGATGATGGAGTGGCGAGGACGGGGTTGATTGTTGGTGGCGGAAGTGAGGTTTGGGGGTTGAACTTTACACCCCCATTTTTCTTCTTTATGCGATGGGCTCGCCACTGGCATAGTTCATGTATAAGAAGGGAGTTTTTTGGACTCCCTCTCCCTCAGATCTCTAACACGAGTCTGAGATACTTACACGCCATAGCCTTATATTTAAAAATATGTTCTAGTTCAAACCCGGACTCATTGGACTCTAGATACTTCTTGATGGTCCATTTCCCTCTGCACTTGTTCATTTACACTGTTGATAGCCCACTCCAACATATCCTTTCATGCATGGCCATAGCCACAGCCCCTATGTCTTTTTTTCCACCGGTCTAGAATATCTGGGAGATTATCATAGCATATGAGGCTAGCACATTTGGTGCTTATCAACTGGTCCTCTGCCAAATCTTTCAATTCAGTTCTAAAGCTGATGAAGTCTACCAGGAGACCCAATGTGAGGCCCGCTTCCCGGATTCCTTTGAGAGCTTGCATAACTGCCATCGTCTAAATACTCTCATTATTGGATAGATAATCCCAGCAAGCTTTTGAATCTGGATATTGTGTTGCAAAAGCAGGAAGTTGGGCAGGGATGGGGCAAGAATTGCTGGGGGATGGGGAACCATCTGAGGCAATACTGGGCACAGGCAATTCACTCCGGCCATTCATGGTAGGGAGACAGAGGAAATTTTTTAGGGATCTGTTCACTAATATTGCCGGTGCCACCCCATTCCTGTATCAATAATAATTTGCATTCTGGGTCCTGTCTACAGTCTACAGTATCGGCGCATTTCAGCCAGCTGGATGACATGAAAGAATGGAGAAATGGGAGGTTCCAAGTCACGGTTCAAGCTAGTTCGGGGCGGGGAATGTCACGTGCAACTGGAAAGTGGACCTGAGGTACGAAATCTACCAGACTCTCTGGTGGGCGACGAATGGTTTTTTCATCCGCTTTGGCACACACAAACACCAACACAACACAACACATCAATTCAATGCCCCTATGGTCACGCACAGCCCACCAGAGAGTCTGGCACCGAGACTAGAGACATGGGAAAGCTATCAGAGTGCTATGGACAATTGATCATGATCATACAGTCGAAACACTAATACAATGACGATCGAAGAGCGAGAGAACATCACGGGACATTAAGGAACAATAGTAACCCCAATAGCCAATGAGAAGAGAGAACCACAGGGTGGGAAAAGCAAAATTCCCACGAATTGTGGACCCGGAAAGTGACCTTGCAAGCAACGTAATATATTTCAGTTTGTATCAGGGACCTAGCCGACCTCCGCCTCTATGACTGCGTAAATCCTGCAGAGATGTGGAGCTGGAAACGGTTAATGAACAGTTTGGCCAATCCTGTCAAACTAGTGGTTCCAATCGCTGCCAAACTATCCCAGTATAACACGCTGAGTCCAAAAGTGATGGGGTCGGTTAAGTGGTGATTGGTTTCGCAATGTGGCCATTGAGAGTATGTTCTCATTTTACCACGCCACTCTTCCTTTCCTTGCGGGTTGGATCCTCTTGGTCTCACTCCTGTCCTTGATACTAACCGTCGAGGCGTGAATCATTTAACTGAAATAAAGCTACCGCTCATGAGCCTAGGTAATCATGATACGCGGCAGTTTCAGGAGCCTAATGAATCAGGATCGTATTGGTCCCTACTCACCTTGGGGTTCATGCTACATATCTTTGCGCGGCACCGCAGTGTCGATACCCTTAATCACTTCTGATCAGATGGAGAAACGAAGGGGCACAGACCACGAGCATCAAACCCCCACCTATTTCGCAGTTTCTTTATACAGTCCCCCGAGTATAGGATACTTTATGCTAGGCAGCATCACCAATGGAGATGTGCGGCCATTGAAACGGGCGACTTGACTTGTCTATCCTGGAATCAGCTTCGCACATACCCCAGGACGCGACAATGCCCAATCTAAGCGTGATCCACCAGGGACACTTCGGCGGCAGGAATTCAACTTTCGGAATGTCGAAGCGATCCAAGCTCTGACAGGAAGAAACGAAACCCGAATAGAGACCGTTTCAGCTAGAATAAGAGCGCCAAAACCTCCAGACCAGAGGGCGTTGGTGTCTTGGTTATCCGGTCCGATGGGCGGATTCCCCGGTGAACATGGTAGAATTTGAAGAGCCCCCGAAAGCCCCACTCCCGACGGCGAGCGTTTCACTGGCAAGGTGACTTGCAGTCGCGCGTCTTTCACTGGGCTGGATATCAGTCTCTGCTGTTACAGAACCCATCGCTATTCTCGTGGTACATGTGCATGGGTAGTTGTCTAGATCGGAAGCCTGGACACAGGAATGCATGGATACGTATGCGTCAGCTCATTCTTCACCGCCGTTAGGTTATTTCTCGGCTAGCCAGGTACTCGTAATCAGGCAGCAGAAAGGACCGCTATTCTTTGTCGTGAGAAGTGGGTTGAAGCCGATGTGCTCCAATACTTCAGGATGCCATGGACTCGTGCTGTCCACTCAGAAAAATTGGAGGGCTGAGAGGCCATCAACGGTGAATCCCGGAGCCTGAAGGCATAGGGAACATCACTCGTGAGAATTCGAGTGATCCGCTCACTACATTAAACAAGCGAACTATCATTGGCCGCATGTTTCGCATCCAGGTATTCTCGATCCTCAAGGCTTGCGCGTCAACCAAGAGGGCATCGCATTAAGAAACGCACATGTTCAAAGATCGCTGGCAAAGCGAGGAAAGATACGGGGGGTAGAGCGTTCAGATAGCTCGAGGTGACAAACCACCGACGATGGCGGTGAGGACCAGGTGTGTCTAGTTAGGTAGAGTCACTACATAGTCAAGAGCAGGGGACGTAGAGTCCAACCAAAGTTCTGACGCTCACCAGAACAACCTTGGCATGGGCTCTCAAGAGCGTTTTGCTAGCACCAATACTTTGTGCGAGCTCATGTGAGCCCCTTGGAAGAGCATCGAGAATCGTTCTCAGTGGGACGACGTGGACGAAGGAGTTTTCTAAGACTTTTCAGTCTAACGACCTCTACCACCCGAGCAACCGCAGCGAAACGACTGAAGCAATAAATGCTGGCCATAGAGGAAACGACGCCACGAAAGAGCAAAACGGATTACCTCCAATGTCCAAAACACTGGAATATCCAAGGACCATTGCGACAACCCATCAGGGGAGGATTTTGGGACTTCGCGAGAATTCCGGGGTCGCTGAGCCTATGAGTAAACCAATGACTTCCACCTGCACAACTGATTTGCATTAAGACCAGGCAAAAAATCTCGGGCACCGACCCCCTTACCCATGGTCATCTACCGACGATTGACGTGGCGAACAGAACAGCCGTTCTAGCCTCCTGTAACAGGGTTTGAAGACCCGGATGTGCCGAAAACAGGATTCTTTGGGAAGATTTGCCACACGTCCTAAATGGAATGGACAGTTGTTGAATGGAATGATAGTCATTTTCGGCGCCGCGCCAGGTTGGTAAACGCCGGCTATCTTCGTAGTTCGAAAAGTTAGAGGACAAACGGCGAACAAACGAGATCCCTCGGTGTCAACAGTTGGCACTTCTCGCGGGTGTCGAGAGGGAGAGGCGGACTGGTAGGTTTTTGATCACACCGAAAAACGTTCAGCGTGGCGGACAATGAAAATCCCAAAGTCCAGCCTCATTCCCTTTGGCTATCAGTATGCGAAACGACGTCCAAAGGGCGTCCAAAATGAGTTGTTTATCACATGAGGTGGGGGACCGGATTCAATTTGGGAAGGGGATAAGGAAATAAATCCGAAATTCTTAGCGTAAACCTCGCCCAACAACCCCTCAATCCCTTTTCTCTCTCTTATACATCTCTTACCACAATCACATACCTTTTGTCTTTCAAACATGCCAAAAGCACCAAAGGCTGACAGTGAGAAGCCAAAACGCGAGAAGAAGGGTGAGTCCCTACCTCAATCTGGCGCGTCTTCACCCCAGTCGCGTCCGGTTCCGGGAGGTGTTTACTAAATAGAATCTCTCTTGACTCATGCCTGTTCGTGGTATTCCTCCGCACAGTTACTGGCGAGAAGCGTCCTACCACTCTATATCAGACCTATATGAAAGAGAAATTGCCAGAGTACAAGGCGAAGAACCCCGGAGTTTCACACAAGGATGCCTTTTCTGCTGTAAGCCAATACTCATCCCCTCTACCCTTCGCGTCCGTACCGCATCGTACTGGCTGATCGACGCGCAAACTGTGTGCATTCTTATCCTCCTTCACATCCTTCCTTTGGCCCGTAAGAGGCAACTGCTAAACCGTCCGCTTAGGTCGCCAAGCTCTGGAAGGATGCGGACGAAAATCCGAATAAGGGGAAGGACACTTCGGCTGCTGATAAACCTGCCAAAGTTCAAGCTGCTTCGAGGAAAGCACCGAAAGAGGCGTGATCCGCGTGATGAGCTCGTTTCTTCCTGGACTTGTAGGCCCCCTTTTCTTGCAGCCGCCCGCCCTTCGACTCGCTTATCTACATGATTAGTTCCGATGTACTCGTGTAACAAAACTTGAGTTGCAGCAACTTAAGATTAGGTTCAGAGCACTGTATATTCAGTATATGGAAACAGATAACTCTTCTTCTATCAGCATTTACTTTCATTTCTACTGCTTCCCCTCCACTATGAATTTCTTTTGATACTTTGACACTTCGTCTTCGCCTATACGATAACCGCTTGCTCGATTGAGCGAAGATACCAACTGTAGTTCTTTGTAATTCGTATCTTCATTCCTCATCGTACATTCATCTGTCCGCAATCTTCGATTCGTCTGCAAGTGATGGTCATCATTCATCCTTCTTGCCCCCAGACGTGCAGGGGCCGCCTACTCGGGAGAAGAATAGGAAGGACAATAGTATGGGAGTTTGAACTGCTTTCCTTGCCCTACCACTCAGCTCGGAGTCCAGACTGGGCGACTCAGAGGATACTTGTGTCAATTTGATCTAACAAGCATGCATATGAGAAACGTCCGTGACTCATGAAGGAGGCGAACACAACCTTTCCGAAACAAAGTGGATGTGGCTTTATGGTATGCTCTTGGTTCTCAATCACCCGCTGTCCATACGCCAGCCACTCGAGACGAGGTCCTGCATCAGAAGGAATTATCTGCAGGGCCCCACATTTTGGCATGGGATCAATGGTCCTTTGGGCTGCGTGATGGCGATGGAACACTTTATACATGGCCTGGTGGAGGCAGGATGTCGAAAAGCGCCACTCGGTTTGTCACACCACGACCTCGGGGCTATTGTGCCCATTCGTTCGACAGGATCGAGGCATATTGCTTAGAGGCTGGAGTTCCTCCAGTCAACAAACAGAAAAGGCAAGAGCCAAGGAAGACGCCGACAGCATTGAGTGGGGGTCGGCAAACCAGGTTAGAGCCTGGTGACGCTTACATAAGCAATATTCATCTCAATCCTGGCCACACCATCCTCACCCTCAAAACACATCATCCTTAGGATGTAAACTATATTAGAATTAACTGAATAATGGTATTATGTAGACTGAAGATTATGTATATGAAAGGACGGGTAATTAGATGGACATTTTAATGATTGAACCATGTTCGAGCCGAGCACCATCATTCTCCATCATTTTCCCATCATCAGAGGGACTGTAATTGCCATGCTATGGTGTTTTAGATTTCTAGCTATTTGTCTTAGTACTCCTTTCCATCCCTCAATGTCCATACTCAGGTTGGTAAAGACCCCAAGTCTCGTGTATCTACTGTACACACACGACCAACTACCTGTCACGCGTCACGCTGGGCAAAAGGTTGAGCGACCAGTGTCACGCAACACATCGCTGGTGGCACGGTGGCTGTGCAAATGTATTTTTCGGGTACATATTTAGGTTAGAAACGAAAAATCGCCAATTCCTCATCCAAATTGCATGCCCATCTGACTCACATTCCACAGCTGAGGTCACAGCTCTGAAGGTTAGATGTAGGAGGTACTACAGTCACTGCATTTAGAGCAAAATTATCCCGTGTACTATTCTGCACCGTAATAATGCATAAGCTGTGTTATCTTGTGCTATCCCTGAAAAATCCCAAGCCTCTGAGCAGGTGTGGGTTTAAGTTACGAGATGTGCGAAATCATGCCGGGGTATTTGCCAGGAATACAGCGGGGCTGTGCACATGCCTGTTCTATCCTCTGTCCTATTCCTCATTTCTGCAAAATCCGTGTTCTATCCTGCATCAAGCACTTGCTCAGGCCTATTCACTATTAATATTTTTTAAAATAATGTTTGGATTTGTGGTGAATATCTTACTCTGAGGATCTTTCTCGTCTGTGTCCACAGCTGACACTTGCTCCGGATTGACAAGGCCCATCCATGACCGGAGGACAACCAACACCACTGTTACACCCCGCCCTTTTAAAACAAAACAACCTCATTGTACATGTTGTTTTTGATGCAGTTTAGTAACCGATTCTAATCGCAGGCACTCCTGCAGCAATCCATACTTGCAACTGACAGGTCATTCCAAAATGAACAAGGGCTTGCATCTAAGTATCAATACAACGTGCATTTGGTAAGTGGGCAGAAGACACCATATATATTTAATGCCGATTTCCATCTTGTCAGCTTCAGGGATGTTTGTGCGTCAATCTCCCAGTTGGCTGGAAACAAGATGTTCTCAGCATCTGCCAATCTACTGGACAGTGTCTGAAGGATAGTATCGTAATAAAATCACGTAAGGTGAAATGCTATCATCCTCAGGTGCGTCGATGGATGGATCTCAAGTTCAAAGGGATGAAGAGTGTTACAGGTGCCGAGGCCTGTCCTTGTAGTCCATTTCAAATCTTTCCTTGAGCCGCTGTGTCTTTTCAACGGCATTCCACAAACGATCAACCAACACATGAGCCCGGAGTTGCCTCATCAGCGCTGGCTAGGCACCTCAGAGGTGGACGCTCCTCCATGGGTTTCTGAGGGATGGTGGATCTTAGCAAGGGATAGTACTGGATCTTACAGGGAGACCGTCGAGTTTGAGGTTGTTCCGCAAGCAATAGGGCTTCGTATGGCATACGAAACTGCCAAGTATGGGGGGTACCCCTTTGGAAGTTGGGCAACCTTATCTCATGACATACTGGTAAGCATTCCAATATTAATATACTGTCAGAGACCAGGTTGAGATGAGGGAGTGTCTCCGTGACGGAGGGCTTCAGCCTCAGTGACTTGTGCCAGGAGTGCTGTGCCAAGTAACACGTCCGTGCCCTAACTTACTAAACTGGCAACCAGAACTGAAAGGGGTAAACTCTAGTCGATTTTATTACTGAGGTGTAACCTATGTACAAGTGGAGTATATATATGGTTACAACGAGAGCGGGCCTGCAAAAGGCGGAGCCAAGCGGAGCAGAGCTAACGGGGTTAGACATCAGCCGATTGAATATTACCGATGAGTCAGGTTACGGGGTTAGCGGAATGGTAGGCGATAACCCAGAAATGGAAAGGAGGGATAGGCCCGAAGGTAGGCTTGCAGGGCAAGTGAGTGTATTGCCCAGCAGAGGCAGGAGTGCGCTAGCGGACGTTGGAGCTGTCTGGAAGCCTTCGGGGCTCCGTACTTAGGGAGGTGTAGGTAATAAATTGAAAAGAGGGGGTGGTGTCAGGGCACGCTGCCGCCGCCGCCGCCGCCGCCACCTCCTTTTCCTTTTGTCTCATCCCCTCATTCTCTCTTCTTTCCTTCTTCTCTTTTTCTATCTTTATACAGACGACCTCTCTTTCTTTCCTACCCTTGTAGCACGGATGTGTCCGACGCTGAGCACCCCGTAGGGGCACTGCAACGCCGGATGCGCCGTGCACTTCTACTTGTACTTCCCCTCCAACACTCGGGATCGACCGCGGAACCACCTGCAGTAACCCGGCTTCGTCCGAGGGTGACGTGGCAACCCCACGTGACCCATTCACACATGTATATAAACTAAGCCGAAGCAGGACCGAAGAAGTAACCTTCTTCTCATTTCCCGCTTCAGGCAAGTACCCTAGTTTAGTCTGGCTTCCCACCCTAATAACAATACATTTCCCGCTTCAGCCTAAGAAGCCACACAGGGATGTAAGCCTGAGTAAGGGCTATCCACTATACGGTCTCACCGCCCCGCTGCCGTCCAGGCCGCTAGCGCCAAGCGTTACGCCGCTACCTCTGCCTTCCTCGAGCCGTCCCTGACAGCAGAAGAAGGTTTCAACCTAATCTCCCCCACCTCCTCCAGCATGGTGACCGAAGAGCAGTACCAGGACCTGCTGACTAGGTTCCAGGAACTGCAGGCCATCCTCGAAAGCCACGTCCAGAACCCACCGGCTCCGCCCGCGCCCGCACCCACACCTATGCTTAAGCCCAAAGCACCCAAGGTTGCCCCCCCCCACCGCCTTTGCCAGAGCAAGCGAGGACCTCGACCGCTTCAAAGCGGAATGCGGAATCTACTTCCATGTCCGCACCATGGAGTTCCCCGACACCCTATCCCAAATCCTTTTCGTCCTGTCATACATGAAAGGAGGAGCTGCAGGAGCATGGGCAACACAGCACACGATCACGCTGTTGACGGCAGGATCCCCCGCGACCACCATGGACGAGTTCATGGCAGAGCTGGATGCCATGTTTCAAGACCCCAACCGGGAAGCCACTGCCTGGCAGAAGCTTGCCGCTTTATGGCAAGGCACTGACTCCGTGGATAAAATCATCCAGGAGTTCGAAATCCACAGTCCCACTTCGCGGCTAGGTGACGTAGGGCTGGTAGACCGCTTCGAACAAGCGATCAATGCCCGGCTACGTGAGAGCATCTACCATCTGCGCCCCATGCCAGGAACCTGGGCAGAATGGAAACGAGAGGCTACCCTCCTCGACAACCAATGGCGGCGCTTCCAGGCGACTCAACCCCGACTCCCCCTGTTCAAGTCGTCCCTCCCCCCTGCCAGACCGCCACCGTCACCCTCTCAGACCCTCCTGCGCCCACCACCAGGGCCATCGCCGTGACCTGCCATGGCCCCTACCACCCCCACGACTACAGCCCCGCTGCCTCAGCCGATGGACCTTGACCGCTCAAGGGCAGACCAACGACGGGGGCTATGCCACAACTGCAATGCCCCTGGGCACTTCGCGCGAGACTGCCCCCTCCCAAAGGTCCACCGAGTGCGCCACATGCACCCGGAAGACCTTCGAGCACTCGCAGAAGGGCTGAAGAGCCAACTGATGGGGACACCTGAGGGGAACGAGGAGGAGAGGGAGGAAGGGAACCCCTCTGTGGATTTTCAAGAAGGCGACCGGTGAGGGATGCGTCCCGGCTGCCTGCGAGCAATGATACCCAGTGTAAATACAGAGATACGTGCAAGTCTGCGCCGCTGTCCAAATTCCGCTGGGTGATTGCTAAGAAACAGAGGAAAATTGCACCCTCGACCAGAAAGAGCAC